CCCGTGTGAATCTAAGCAATAAATGTTGTATGTATATGTCTATTTAATATCTTACGGGTTAAGAGAACGCAGTAATTAACCGAAGGCTAGTTCGTTTACGACGATCAGTATAAGACAAACTGCTCCTCTTTGGAATCCTGTTCAATACATAAATGTACTAGTGCAACTAATCAGTCAAGACAAACTGTACCGTTGACACTACAACCGTTGACGATGGTTGTTCATGTCCATCTAGGTTGTGAACCATTATTCTTTTTTCGCAAGTAACTGATAGAATGATCTTCGGTTTGTCCGATGATGACCCACACTATCTAATGTAAAACAACATAACGTAGAACTTGTTCAATCTAACATGTTTCTCATTCATAAAGGAAAAAAGTGTAATATCATCCAAAGTCAAGCTTTCAGTATATAACACTAACACGCGGGTGCGCTAGGTTGACGACATCTACAAGATGAGCTTAAAAGGTTTATTATGTCAATTCATGCAGGCGGATTTGATTCTGACATAATAATAAATATTGAGTGGTACTGGTCTCAGAAATATCAAAGAAGTTGATTAATTATATTGTCAGTAATGAAATTAATTCACAAATGTTATATCTTTGGCACGAGGAGATAAACCGAGAATATTGGAGCCCAAGTAATTGAGGTGAAGGAAATGAAGTGTAATAATAAATATTTAGTAGAATTATTTATTATGAATGACCCAAAAAATAGGGTGAACAACAACCAAGTATTTATTGGCCAACTGAGAGGCATAATCCTAGCCTCCTCGGGTTCTTGTTGTAGCCTATATATATGCAATTTGGGGACTCATTCTTATAACGCAATCCCTAGCTTAATAAGATATATATAGAGAGAGAGAGAGAGTTCCAAGACACATGTTTTTGGTAGGTTGACCCCCACACGACGCCCGAATGAGACTAACGATATACAACAAATGACCGAAGGTGTTGGGCAATCCCGATGACTCTACACCTTAGTCTTTCACCGCGCACGACCACCGCAGCGAGCCCCGTTGACCGTCACCAGCAACCGTGACACATCCGCAGCGCCCAGGCCCCACAACGTAGGTGATCCCAGCGCAAGATAGGCGATCCCCGCTTGCAGCCGCAAGTGATGCACGTATCTTCTAGCGGCGAAGCAGCGCCTTGCAATTCCCAACGATACACGCGCGGCGTACGTGGATAGCGACTGACACTAGCGACGACTCGGCTATCAGACGTGACACGTACGAGGCGGACGAAGGTTGCAGAACATCTCAAAACCATTCATACGGGCCCGTAGCCCACGTAAGTATGTATATAGTCGGCTTTTGTGAAATCGTAAGATCTTGATCCTAAACTTTAGCTTCCCGTTGAGTTAGGATTATTTTCTTAAAGTATTTCGCATATTGCAATGATAACCGTCATTCTTCGCGAATCCAACAAAAGAAACTGTGCAAAATATAATATTAAGATATGTAAGAAATTTTATTAAAATTAGTTCCTAATATATTTCAAACAAACATGACTATTCTTGCAGTAAAAATATTTCGGACCGATTTCGTAATAGTTGAGACCAAATTTGCAACTCATTATATTCTATGATACCAATTTTGTGATTTTTTACTTTTTCTTATCAATCATCTAAAACTATCTTTATCCCTAACTCAACCCAAACCCAATCTAATCAAAAAAAATTATTTATCTCTCCTCCACATACACAACTCAATCTTCCAACTTAATTAATTTTTATCCCATACCCAACTCAATCTAAATATTTATTTTATTTTAATTTATTTAAAAATTAATTTTATTCCAAAATATATCAAGTGTGGTCTCTATTTGTAGAGAATGAAAAAATACGAATTTTAATATTTTTTTATTCTTTTATACAAAAAAATACACTTATCCAATCAAAATAGAACAAGTGTCCCATACTCGTACAAAATACAGGTTGCGACCCAAGGTCACATTGTGACCTGGGTTGCTATACTTGATGACTTTCTTCATTTTTATTATTATTATTATTATTATTATTATTATTATTATTATTATTATTATTATTTGTGTAGTGGGGGGTGACCCAGCAATTGGGTCACCGATAAAATAAGCCTAACAGCCCCGCTAAGGGCACCCACATCAGTGCATTATTTGTGGTGTTTAAACGTCCTCCCAGGTGTTAATACGGATGTGGTTCATCCGTTTAATGGTGGGCCCACCACTTTGTTCACAACATTGAACGCCTCATTTTCTTTTTTATTCTTATTTTATTACAATGTGGCAGCGCATGGTTTTTTATAATATTTGTTTTTAAATAATTATTTATTTAACTATTTCTCTTTTTGTTTTTTCTCTATTAAATAATTATTTATTTATTTTGCCAACAATTAAAAAAATATATATATATTTTTTTTTTTGTAATTATACTATTTTTTTCTTGTGTAATCCTAATTTATTTTATTTAAGTCTTGTAGTGTTTTTTTTTTTAATTTTTATGTATTTAAAATTTATTGTTATAATTCAAGTATTAAAATTTATTTTTATTGTGGATAGAATATAAAAAATTATATTGAATGAGTGGATAATGGGTCTTACATATGTATTTAAATGAAGGGGTATGAATGTGGGTGTGTGTTCAAATGGAGAGATATTTGGTGGAAAGATGATGTGGATGAGAGAAAATGTAACTTTCTGATTGAATAAATGGAAATTTTGTTAAACAAATGTGGATGCCCTTAGAGCATCCACAATGCTTTGAGTTCAATTACAAAAAATTGTATGCCACCTAAGAAATAGACATAGTGTAAAAAAATGTATTATCCAATGCAAACAAAAGTAGACTGGGTCCTGCTGACGTGGCAGCCCAAAAAAGAGACCCGGTCTACCCTTAAGTCTATTTTAGACCCAAGTAGAGACCTAATCTCTTTGCATTGGAGTGAATTTTAGCAATTTTACATAATTTTATTCATATCATCAAAGACTTGGATTTATTTACATGCCACATTGACAAGACTAGACACAATGCATTGTAGATGCTCTTAATATTCCGTTAAATTAAGGGGCCACCTTCTTTTATAGCTTATAGGGCAAAAATGCAGTAGGCACACTAATAGCTCAATTACTAAAAAAATGTGTAAAGTCTTGTATTTTGTGATTTGCTTAATTTCATTAAACTAACGGCTCAGTTAATTAGTAGCAGACAGTTGGATATTGCACAAAGATAATAATTATATATGTGTGCTTTTCATGCACATATGTGAGGTGATTTTTTTTTGGTTACAGAGAAGGAGACCAACGGCCCGAAATTACAATGCTAGAACTCGTTGTGGGTGAGCCACTCCACGAATATCGTGATCAATTCATGCATCCAACTTTGGGGGAGGTAATGAGATCTGTTGCAAGCCCAACGGGACCGAAGTCGCTAGAGCCGCCATATGGTCTGCCGCTAAATTGGCTTCCCTATGCATGGCCTGAACTAGTGAATCATGGGCTCCGAAGTTATCATCTGGCCCAAGTATCATTGTCGTCACACATTGAGGTAAAATTTACCATTGAAGATAAATGTTGTGATTAGGAGTGTGGGTAAATATAGCTAGCGTTTGGGAAGAATTTTGTGATCGTACTTGGTTTGAGGTGATTTGTTTTCATTTATTTAGTTAAAAACAAAAGTTATATCTATTGAACAACTTCCCAACTTTTTTCATAAATTAGTTTGATCAAGCAGAGCTAATATGGACTATTTGGTCTGTTATATCATGCTACAATTTCATTACGAAACTATTATGTTAGGATTTGTAACCGTTAAATGTACATGCTACACTAATTGCATAGTCGGTACAAAGTGTTATAGTATGCATGCTTTGTCAATTCTTCTTCTATAGCATCTACGAAATAACATGAATGTCACATTTGACATACCTTTCTATAGAAAAAAGTAATGGGAAAAATAACATATAAGCTAAATTTGGTCGGTGGATAAAAATTTGTGGGGTTTAAACTTTAACCAATCCCATCTACTGCATAATTTGCCTATAGCAACGCAAGCTCGGTGTACATCTAACAACTCAAATCTAACTAAATCCAGCACTCTTTAATATAACTAAATAATATCAATTAGTTATCATCACATATTACATTAATTTTAATTCATATTTATTTATCCACATAATCTTAACTACTCCTCAATTCCAATTATCTGTATCATACTTTTATATCAAATTGACTTTAATTATTTATTTTTAATATTTAACGCAAACTCAAAATCCACTCAAACTTCACTCAACTAACTTTTTCAAAATTAGTTCGTTTAACCAAAAAATCAAATCAAAACTAAAATAATTCAAATCTTACTCAATCCCAATTGGCCTAACAACATAAGGAGTGCTTCAATATGAGTTAGGTATGAGGTATTTTGATTTTTATTGAATTTGTTGGCTAACGTGATTTTGAGTTTTATAATATTTAAAATAAAATGATTAAAGATTGTTTGATGCAAAAAAAAAAAAAAAAAATTGATTCAAAATGATGAATAGTTAAAATTACGTGAGTGGATAAATAATAAATTAAAGTTGATGTGATGTATGAGGATGATTGATCCTACAATAATATCGAGGAATTCAAAAAATAATTGATTAAAGATAATTGATTTTTGATTGAATTTTTTTTTATCCAAGCACCACCATAGGTCCACAAGTTCTATAAATGTGGCTAAAAGCCCATCTTCGAGTAATGAACCGGCCGGTTCGAGATTCAGACCGGAGATTCTTACCTGCTAATTGCTATTGGCTCCACCAAATCTGGAGTGGGCCAACTATTGGCCCTCTTATCTTTTTTCACACATAGAAAGATGAAATTGCACAACACTTGAAATAGGTCAGACAGAGATTGATCCATTGATTTGATACGCAGTGTACATATTCATTAGAGTCCGCAGAGAGAGAGAGAGAGAGAGAGAGAGAGAGAGAGAGAGAGAGAGAGAGAGAGAGAGAGAAAGGTAAGGTTGGCGGAGAAAAAATGGAGTCCTCCGCTAAACTCAGGCTCCTTGCTCTGCTGCCTCTGCTTGCATCTCTTATTCTCCTCTATTTCGATTTTTTCCCACAGGTTTGTTTTCCTTTTTTCTTTCCTAGTTTTTTTTTTTTTTTTTTTTTTT